GGGAATGAGGGACAGGAGAGCCGGGAATGAGGGACAGGAGAGCCGGAGGGACCCCCCCCAGGAACGGCCCCTCAACCCCTCTGGGTTTTCACCCCTTCCGTGATTTCCTCCCCGTCCCCGTGGATTTTTTTGGGATCGATGTTTTTTCTAGATGGAGGTTGGGGGGGAGATTCCTGGGAGGAGCCGAAAAGTTGTTCCCTTTTTTCCCAAAAAATCAGCACTCCGGGGCCTTCCCTGGGGTTGGGTTTCCCTTCCCGATCCCAAGAAAACCCAGCACGAGTCTCCACCATTATCCAAACCCTTCCTTGGAGCTCCATCCTCATCCTCCCTATTCCCTGGAGCTCCATCCTCATCCTCTTTTTCCTTGGAGCTCCATCCTCATCCAAACCCTTCCTTGGAGCTCCATCCTCATCCAAACTCTTTCCTGGAGCTCCATCCTCATCCTCTTTTTCCCTGGAGCTCCATCCTCATCCTATTTTTCCCTGGAGCTCCATCCTCATCCTCTTTTTCCTTGGAGCTCCATCCTCATCCTCCCTATTCCCTGGAGCTCCATCCTCATCCTCTTTTTCCCTGGAGCTCCATCCTCATCCAAACCCTTCCTTGGAGCTCCATCCTCATCCTCTTTTTCCTTGGAGCTCCATCCTCATCCAAACCCTTCCTTGGAGCTCCATCCTCATCCTCTTTTTCCCTGGAGCTCCATCCTCATCCTCTTTTTCCCTGGAGCTCCATCCTCATCCTCCCCATCCACAGCCTCTTCCCATTCCCTCCGGACACCGGGAAGAGCAGCTTTTCCCTCCGTGTCTCCACATCCAGGGAGTTAAATCCCACTTTTTTCCTTGGGCCGAGTCGTTGTTTTGACCCACATTCCCCAGATCGTGTTTTCCAGAGGCTCCTGACCCACTTTTCCCTCCCCTCCGGCTCCTTGCCCAAGAAATGGTGAAACAACCAGGCAGGAATTCCAGCTCCTGGCCCAGTCATTCCCTTCAAAACACTCCCAGGCTTCCTGGGAAGGGTTTGGATCCGGAGCCGACGGTGGGAGAAGCCACCAGGAATCCTGGGAAGGGGGGGATTCCTTGGGAGAGGAGGAGAAGGAAGGAAAACAGGGACCACACCCGCGACGCCCTGGGGAAATTCCCGGGAAAGCCGCGCTTCCCGAGCTCCCACCTGGGCCGTGTAGGGATAGGATTCCTCGGATTCGATGCCGTGGTTGTCGATGATGTACTGGAAGGCCTCGGTCATGTAGCCGCCGGCACAGCCCTTGTTCCCGTACATCCCGGAGCAATCCACCAGGTTCTGGGTGCTCAGGGACACCAGATTCCCGGTTTTCAGCTTCACCTGCGCTTCCAGAGCTCCCACGGCGCTGAAGGCCCAGCAGGATCCGCAGGCGCCCTGGGAAAGGCACGGAGAGGGCTCGGGAGGCGCTCCCCGGGAACTCCGGGAGAAGGGTCAGGAGCTGGGAGAAGGTTCAGGATCTGGGATAATCTGGAGAAGGCTCAGGATCTGGGAAATCCTGGAGAAGGTTCAGGATCTGGGAAATCCTGGAGAAGGTTCAGGATCTGGGAACTCCTGAGAAGGATCAGGATCTGGGAACACTGGGAAAAAGTTCAGGATCTGGGAACTCCTGAGAAGGATCAGGATCTGGGAATGGAGAAGGTTCAGGATCTGGGATAATCTGGAGAAGGTTCAGGATCTGGGAATTCCTGGAGAAGGTTCAGGATCTGGGAATTCCTGAGAAGGGCCAGGATCTGCGAACGGAGAAGGCTCAGGATCTGGAAGGAGGTTCAGGAGCTGGGAACTCTTGGAAAAAATTCAGGATCTGGGAATGGAGAATCCCAGATTCTCCATTCAGGATCTGGGGGAAGGTTCAGGATCTGGAAGAAGGCTCAGGATCTGAGAATGGAGAAGGTTCAGGATCTGGGATAATCTGGAGAAGGCTCAGGATCTGAGAATGGAGAACATTCAGGATCTGGGAATGGAGAAGGATTTGGGAACCCCTGGAGAAGGC